TTATTTTATTTTATTTTATTTTATTTTATTTTATTTTATTTTATTTTTGTCTTTATAAGATAGGGTTTCTCTGTGTAACCCTGGTTGTCCCGGACTCACTCTGTATACCAGGCTGGCCTCGAACTCATAGAGATCCCCCTTCCTCCGCCTCCCCAAGCGCTGTAATCATAGGCGAATACACAAAAAGCAGAGCTCTCTAACCAACCATCACACTGTTTGGGTCAACAGACGCGGACACACACACACACACACACAGCTTAAAACACAGTGCAATGGTGATGTTTTTCTTTTGTACCTTCTCCAGCAGAGTTACCCAGGGGCAAGGAGCCAAGCCTTTACTGTCACACCTCCTCCAGGGAGCAGTAAATGAAAGAAATGAAAACAAACAGAACCTCCCCTGAAGAGCACCCAGCGTGCCTAACCACTGGGCCATCCCACCCAGCATCCAGTGAAACAGGTGACTGCAGGTCTCCAGGTTCCACATCACTGAGTCACCAAAAAGAAGAATGCCCTTCTCAACCCAGAGAGTTTTAGTCACTCAGTGCCAGGCTTAAAATTCAAGAGGCCTTCTCTCTGTGTGTTTTTGATCGCTGTTCCCTTATCCTGTTCTGTTGGCATCAAAAACTTTACCTCCAAGAGGGGGGGGAAGGACGAGGAGAAATTCTAATTACTCCCATAGGGTTCCTCGGCCATGGTCAAACTGACTGGCAGTTTCTCCTCCCAGATCATCCAGCCAGAAGGCCCACACTCTTTCTGTTGTCCGCTGTGGCAATTTTCATCTTGTTTTTTTAATTTTTATTTGTGATATAACTCGAGATGTCAGAAATAATCTTGTTCGGATGTCATCGTGCTTATCTCTGTCTTTGTTTGATTTGTTTTAGGACAGGGTCTCTCTGTGTGGCCCTGGCTGTCCTGGACTCACTCTGGACACCAGGCTGGCCTTGAACTCATTGAGATGCTCCTGCCTCTGCCTCCCCGAGCCCTGGATCCCAGGCATGTGCCACAGCATCCTGGGTTGGTGATTCTTGGTGGTGGTGCTGGGTCTTTTCTAAGCCGTCCCATGTGGAGAGTCTCCATGTACATCCAGTGTCAACGGAGGATTAACAATATAAAAATAAAGTTTGCTTTCTTCTATTTGATTAACTCCCTCACGATAAAGGGACCCAGTGACCCCTGGTTTGTTTGTTCGTTTAAGGTTTAAGTTTTATTATTTAACACCAGTAACAAAGTTACCTTTCTTTTTTTTTCTTTTTAAACCCCAGTATCCTCTGACTCTAAGGAAAGGCAAAACAAAACAAACAAACAAAACAAATAAACGCTGCTTCCTCCCAACTTTCCTAACCTGGAAAGACTCCCATCTCCCCCTCAGCCCCTGTCCACTCTCAGTCTCAGAAGCAGGGTGCCCTCCCCATGCCCCCCATCCTCCATCAGAACCTCTTCGACCCAGCATTCCCTGCCTCCCTCCTGGTACCCCTGACTCGCCCTGTCCTGGGCTGGCGGGGTCACACCCAGGACACCCTGCCCTCCTCTCCATGAACTCCCATGAGCTCCCCTGGTTCCCAAGGTGATATGAGGACCCCTGGAGGTTTGGAATTCTGACTTGTGGCTTTGGCTCTCCTTCAAAAAAAAGAAAGAGAAAAATCTGCTGTGTTCTCCTGCGTCCTGGTGCTGAAGCGAAGCTGGAGACATCCGCGGCGAGCCACAGGCAGCCTATTAGGTGGCGGCTCTGGGGACAAGGGTTTCCCCCACCAGGCTGCCAGACATGTACCCACAGTGGCCCAGGGGCCCAGGCCTCCTCGGGCTGCTGCTACTTCAGTGCGATGAGCCCCAAGAGCCAGGATGTGTTCCTGCACCTGGTCAGAGCGAGAGGTTCTCTCCCTCCCTACAGGACCAGTGGGATACTTGCTCACCATCACCTGGTGACCAGAATCCAGCAAGGTGAGTCTTAGTGGGAAGGGGGAGAAGGAGGTGCGCACCCTGGATAAAGTCGTGATGTCAGGGTGCTCTGGCACTCCGGCTTCGGACAGCCCAAGGTGCTCAGAGTAAACTCAGCAATGCAAAAACATTTCCCAGCAGGACCCCAGTCTTGCGTCTCCAGCCCCTCCAATGCGACCTCAAGGACGAACCAGAGAGGTTCATGTGTGTGTGTGTCTTGGCGAAGTTTTCCCTGCAGGTTAAAAATTACGCACGGAAAATAGTTGGACACTTGTTTATATGGCGAGGGGTTTTGATAGGGAGCTGTGAGAACCCAGAGCTTAAGGGCCAAGGACACGAATGGCCTTTTCTGATTTAAAAACTCATGGGTGGGGAGCTGAAGAGACGGCTTGGTGGTTAACAACGCTGTCTACCCTTCCAGATGGTCCTGAGTTCAATTTTCAGCACTCACATGGAGACCCAAAACCATCTAGAGTGGGATCTGGTGCTCCCTTGTGTCATACAGGGATTTATTCAGACAGGGTGCTCATATGTATAAATAAATAAATATTAGAAAAACAACAAAAACTCATGGGTTTCTCTTTAAGGCTTAAAAAGATTAACACATATGCTCTGTTTGGAGCAGATCCAAAGAACTTGAACAGAGCCAGTGTGCCTATCCACAGCAAGGCCAATGTCACCTTGGCTCCTGAACTATAAACCTTCCAGAAGCCCTTCCTAGGGGCTGTTCTGAAAAAAGTCTCCGTTTAGATGGAATGAGATTAGATTGTACTTTGGAAGGGAAGTCCAGGCCTGTAATCTGAAAAAAAAATCTCACTGTGATGTCTCCAAAAGGGAACAATGTGTATTCTGGCGGCGGCAGAGGCCCTTAATAGAGAACTTTTCCCTTGGAAATGGGCATTTGTTTGGGAAAGGTGCAGGAAATGACTATGTGGGAAGGATATGGGCCTTGCATACCAGTCTGATTTTTGCAGGAAGGATAGTAAGTCACTCAGTGAACTCTTGGATGTGCAAGGACTCGCTTGAATGGAAACAAAAGTTTTTCTCAGTGGCCCGATTTAACAATGCATTCAGCCAGTAAAAAGTACCCAAGAGCCAGCTCTGCAGCACATAGACCTAGCTGAGATGTCTTCCCAGTCCTTAAAAGACACACTGATTTAAGTCCTTTGGGATAACGGTAGTTTTGGGTGAGTTGCTACTGGAAGTTGGTCCTTCTTCTATATGTGCCCAGTGTCTCTATTTTGACTTTTGCATAATTAGAACCTGGGAGGAACACTCCTCCTTTTATTCGGGGTAACAGGACTGATTGTAATCAAATGGGTTCCCAACAACTGGAGGCCACAGTGAGGAGACAGAAGGGAAGTCCTGGGGATGTTGTGTAAATATGTTTCCGTCTTAATCCGAGTGTGGGATTTCGGGTTTGCACATAGTTCATCCACACCTGTTAATGGTCTCAAGGGGCATGGCTTCTTGCCAGCTGATAACAGGCCTGCCTCGTGCACCAACAGTGCTGTGACCTAGGCTTCTGAGCGCATCCTAGGGTAGAGAGAAGGTGGCTGCATCTGCAGTTGATGGGGATTGGTGTAGAGACCCCCAAAAGATCCCTCGAACCCCAACAGCCCGGAGAAGTAAAGCAGTCTGCTCCTCCTCTTTCCCCAATAGGGAGGCTGATGACTAAACACCCCCAAATAAAGTAGAGTTTAAAAAAAAAAAAAACAAGCGCTACAAGGAAACAGGAAAAGATTGCCAACCTCCATTGATTCAGAAGTCATAGTGGGTTAATAACATAACAGTGTTTGGTGAGCAGAAACAAAATGATTTTTGAAAAATCAGTTTTACTAAATTTATTTTTTAATTTATTTTAATATATTTATATAAGTATAATATAAATAAATATTTTATATATTTATGTCAATATATTATAAATATTTAAATTAGCTATTTTATATATTTATGGATTGGTTTGTTCTCACAGTACTCCAGTAATGCAGGATATCAGTTATGTTACTAAAAACCTTTAATTGTCTTATGAGAGTTTGTATAAAATTAACACAAGTATTACACTTGTTTATCAACATCTTGAAAAGGCAGCAAAAGCATGGTGCTCTCCTTTATATGTTCCAAAGAAACAC